TAAAGGAAGAAGTAACAATATCACCAAGTGATGAATTCGAAGATAATTCAAATGTTCCTCATTTGACTTACTTACAAATCTTTATTATATTTTTGAAATTTGGGTATATATCAAATTTCGATTGATCGTTATATTGTCGATTTTTCTAATATAAAATGTTAAATATTGTGATCAAGGTTTCAGGCATTCGGTGGACCGATGGCACAAATTGCTCTAATCAAAGAAGAATTAGTCACAAAACAAGCTTGGATTACACATGCTCGTTTCAATAGAGTATTCGGTGTATATCAGGTTATAACAATTATACATTAATATATTATATACTTAACAACAATTCATTTGTGTATGCAATTCTTAGATTATTCCTGGTCCAGAAGCAATGGAATTAGCTCAGTTTTTCGGTTATTTAGCAGGTGGACGATTCGGTGGACTTTTAGGCGGATTAGGATTTTTATTACCTGGGTTCGCTTTGGTGCTCTTATTTTCATACATTTATGTAGCAGTTGGTCTTAGAAATAAACATTTCAATGCCTCTTTTCGTGCATTACAACCGATAGTGGCTGCTATGATGATGCGAGCTGTAAACAAGATTGGCGAACACGCATTAATGTGTCACAAAACCAAAACTTTAAATTATTGGCTTTTCAGTTTAGCATTTCTGTCCGCGATTCAAAGCGCTTTTCGAGTCAACTATTTCATTACATTATTTGGAATTGGATTAATATATATGATAATTGATCGAAAATACTATTGGGTTGCCGGCTCATTTATTCTACTTGAAGTTGTTGGTTATGTAATCTATGTCGTATTTAAGGGTTTTCCCTCACCGCTCTCTTTTGGCCTCGGTATCACCCCAACACCTGATCCAGGTCACATTTTCGCCTTGGGTCTCGTATCAGGAAGTCTTTCTTTTGGAGGTGCTTATGTAAGTTTTAATCGGTTTAATTAAAATTTAAGTATTAATTAACTCATTGTTATTATTATCAAATAAAATAAAATAGACAACAATCCCAATTATCCAAGCAGAAGCAGTCACAATAGGAAAATGGTTATCGCCACAATCATTTCTTGATATGATTGCAATCGGAAATATCATGCCAGCACCATTAGTAATGTTTTCCACTGGAATCGGTTTTCAAGCAGGATACATATACAAGGAAAATTATGGTTATGCTTTCCTCGAAGGGACATTAATATCAATTGGAATTGTATTTCCATGCTTTGTCTTTACGATCATGGGTCATCATTTGCTAGAAAAGCTTGTTCAAAACAAATTACTTGCTGCATTCTTTGAAGGCATTTCTGCTGCAGTTGTTGGAGTTGTTGCGATCACAGCATTAGAATTGCTAAAAACTTCTATAACAACTTCATTACTCCTTAGAGACGTGTCAGAAAATGAAAAAGGGTTTGCAGCTGCAAGACAAAATTCTATTGCGGCGATAATTTACATGGCTACATTATGTATTTTGTATACATCTAAATTAAAGTATACTCCTTTAATAATTGTAATTGCTGGTGCAATAGCTGGGCAATTTTTATTTGTTGAAGAATAGATAATTATAATATATAGAATAGAATTGTAACGTTAATAATTGCATTTTACATATTTTGGAAACTTCAAATCTTTGTATACTATTAAAAGCCACTCGTTATAGTGAATATGTCTGGATACTGTATACACTTTTATTTCTGATGTGAAAATAAAATTTGAGATTTGAATTAAATTCAAATTTAAAAATTGGATTCGATTCCAATCTCTAATCCTATCTGCTTGTGAATATAAATAAAGAATATGGTTCTGTGCAAAAAGATTCATACCTCAAATAATCATAAAATTTTAATTCTATCTCATTTATTTTAGAAAAGTATTGCATTATTTATTCTTGAATAAAAGTACAAAGAATAATATAAATAGTTAGTTTAGGTTATTCTTTATTTAATGTAAAAAATTATAGAAATTAGTTAAATTCTGAATGGCTTTTATTAGAAACAATTATTAATTTTTATTTTTAGGTACAAATCTTTTTGCACCGGACCATATATATATACTATAGGATAAAACTAAAAAAAACCATTATTACTACGGGTACTTTAACATTAATCAATGAGCATAAATGACGGTTCTTTCGTTGTTATTGTTTCTGCTACAATTGTTGAAATTCCCGTTCCATCTTCGGGCAATTTTTTTAGTTTCTTTGTAGACGATGAATTAGCGTCTTGATTTAACAATTGTCCTTCCTTGTCTCTTTTTCTCTTGTTTGAATCATCAGCAATCAAATCCACGGTACTCGTTGATGAAACATTTGTTACAGATGTTCCGGGAAATGGAGTTGCGGCATCTTGGATTTTAGGTGTTGAATCCGGTTTACTGCTCTTTGGTACCCAAGGTTTGATTTGTAACCCTGTAGTAGTAATGCTATTAGTATCGGTCTCGCTAGTAACCATATTCGGAGTTTTTGGCGGTGATAATGCCCAGGTGAACATCATTGAATTCATCGAATTTGATCCACTTCCTCTATTCATAGATTGGGAGTCAGTGATGGTATATTGAGATGTTGACGATAATGTTAATGCCGACGACATTGTCTGTCCAGGCCCCGAGTTCGAAGCCGCTTTGGGTTTATTCTGGGAAAGCAAATTTTCGGCCTCATGGGTAGTATGAGCAGTAGCAGTAGTGGTAAAAATACCCTCCGTATTCGTATTATTGTCGTTATTATTGTCGTTATTATTGTCGTTATTATTGTTATTATTATTATTATTATTATTAATTTTAGGTTCTTTAGGCTTGACTCTTCCTTTTCCCTTAATATTGGATTTAATAACAATGGGCAAAGTTGAAGATGTTTCATTTGGAATGACTTGCGTGGCAGCAAACGGATTCAAAGGTAATGAATCTTCTATTAAGTTAAGAAAACATTTAGTATCCAGAAAAATAAAAGGAATTCTAAATTCAAAAAGAAATTTACTTGTCAGTATCAACATTTGGTATTCTGCAAGTGGATGATTTTTGTCACCGAACTCGTCTTCGAAAAGAGAGCCTATTGCAATAGGTTTTAAGGGTTGTACTATCTTTGGCTTTATAATAAAAAAAAATGAATATGTTATAATAAATAGTATTTTGAAAATAACAAGCATGGCATAAACAATTGATTCACCCTCTTCTGATGATGATCTCGATTACTCTTCTTAGAGTGACGTGACTTTGCTACGAATTCAATGATAATATCGTTCAAGTCGAAAGAAATGGATTTCAATATATGATATTATGAATAATTAATAAAAACATACTGGGTGTCGTTTCCGATGACGCTACATCAGATTCTTGTATTTCTTCGTCTTCTGACAAATAACCTTCGGGAACAAGCCAACCATCTTCATCCTCATCCTTTTCAATATATTATTAAATAAACAATGAAGACAAAATAAACTTTAATAATACCAATCATAAATTTGATTTACTTCAGAGCTTGAGGAAGTTTCCGAGTCGGATTTCATTTGGAAGTCCTCGTCCTCTGGATCATCGTCATCGTCATCATCGCCTTCACTTTTTAATTCTTCGCCTTCTTCATCTTGTTCCCATTCTGCTGCACTATCGTATTCGTAGTTTAGAAGATCAGTGTCTAGTTCAAATGGTCGTCGACCCGAAATCGTTTTACTTTTTTTGGTCCAGGTACCTTTTATGAAAATAAATGTATTGAATATGAATGAATTATGAAACTAGCTACAGGCATTCTCGTTATTAAAATGAAGAGTACAAAAAACAAACCATAATACGCTGGTCTATAAAAGTCTTCATAGAATTGTAACAATTTCATTTTTGTTTTGCTCAAATCTTTCAACATCTCAGAGGGATCCCCCATAAATGATGACGACTCGTTCTCGGAAAGATTGGTAACTTCACTGTCCATTGTTCTTTTGTCATTATCAGTTGAAGATGATCGATCCTCTAAATCTATCGAAGCAACAACCGGATCGCAAGCTTCTGTGTCAATCTCCATATCAGCAACAACAGGCTCTGGCACAGAACTGCCAAATCGTCCTTGCATTAAATCTTTTACAGAAATCATTTTTCGGGCACCTCGTTTCTTTAATAACTTTTTATTGACTATTGATAAAAAATCTCTTAAATATACATCAGGATCAGCTGTTTTTTGCGGAATTTCAGAGAAATTTGCCAAAGATTCTCCAAACACTAAATCATCGAAATCTTTAGGGACAGGATGCTCGAATCTGTTTATGGGTGCCATTGTCATCGTTAGCTTAACATAGAAAGGCCGGAAATGACTATAGAATGATGCCAGTTTTGGATCATCGTGAGTCACTAAATAACAAAAGAAAATTATGTAAAATAGAAATTTCATATAGAAATCATAGTAGAAAAGAACTAGAAATCAGAAAAGCACCTCCTTTTTCTTCCTTTGGAGGTTCTTTTTTAATAGGAGAAAAGTAATTCATTAGACCCATCTTTGATTGAGCCTATTTTTTTTTACAAAACGATTATGTTTTCTAATAAATATTGGAATAAAAGAGACCGAATTTCATTATTATACTTCTTTCACCTCATTTTTTTTCTTTTGTTCCTCTTCTTTCTTTCGCTTTTCCTCTTCTTTCTTTTGTTTTTGCTCTTCTTTTAGACGTTCCTTAAAAATCAAAAAAATCAAGGTCAAGTGACAAATAGAAAGATGTGATAATAATAATATAAGAAAATATTACTCTTTCTTTTTTGGCAGCTTCCTTTGCTTCTAATTTTGCTTTTCGCTCAATTTCCTATAAAATAAAAAACAAGATTTAGCTTAGCTAATATAAATAATAATTGAAAGACAAAGTCGCAAGATTATCAATTATACCCTCTTCTCTTTTTCAGCAGCCTTCTCCGCTACTTTACGTTCTCGTTCTTTTTGTTCAGCTTGTTGCTACAATATTATTGTCATCATTATTAAAAGATCGGGATGAAATAAATATGGATAATAATTAGTTCAGATTTTTTGGAAAAAAATAAACGAGTATTTTTATTTATCAACCTTTTTTTCTCTTTCCGCTGCCCTTTCGGCTGCTGTTTTACGTTTTGGAGTAGACGATGGTGATACGGAAGTTTGCTATCACCAGAAACATTATGAAATGAGTAATGGAACTTTGAGTTTCTTGGATATTTGAGAAGTAAAAAAAAAACGCGTCATTTATTCATTTATTAGATACCATTTTTGCTTTAGCAGTTGATTTTTTATCGATTTTTATTTCTTTCTTTTGCTGTTGCCCTGTTAACGACACTGTGGAGGTGTTGGTGGTAGAGTTTTTGACTTCTTGCGCGACAATTTTTTGCTAAATTGTGAACAAATGTTATATTACGCGTATTTCTTTGAAGCCCAACAACTATAGAAAACTCCTACAAACTTGGTCAAGTGTATTACTATTATTAATATCCATTATCTTTAATAATACTTATTGGTAGATATTGTCGAAAGTTGTGACTACACGTATCGATATCGATATCGATATCAATATTCGATCTCTAAACCAAATTGCAAAAATGCGACGTGTTTTAGGATTGACAAAGATAATATTAAAACGACGCGTCTATGTTAATAGTATTAACCATACAATTCATACTTTTAGTACAAAAGCAGACCTACAACTACTTCAGAAACTCCGTCAAGAGACAGAAATTAGTATTTTAAAGGCAAAAGAAGCTTTAGTTATAAATAAAAATGATTACGAGAAAGCACTTTCGTGGGTTCTTGAGGACGCAAAAACCAGCGGGATTATAAAGGCGGAAAAGTTACGAGGACGCGTAGCAAAAGAAGGGCTGATAGGAGTGATGATTCATAATATGATTAATAAAGAAGGTTTTCTCTCAAATCAAAGAGGTGCTATCGTAGAGGTAACCATTCGATGTATGGTTGACTATTCCGTTAAAATATAATCTAATAATGTCAAGTAAAATAGGTAAATTGCGAGACAGACTTTGTCTCTCGCAATGAGATATTTAAGCAATTTGTCGCGCAGATTGCTTCCACTTCACTTTTACTCTCATTAGAAGATTCATCATCATCAGAATTACCAACAATACAAAATATTCCCCTTAATCTTCTCAAATCTTCTCCTTTGCTTCCTCTTCCTTCTATCACGAACTACAATCACAACTCTAATACAGTAGAACAATCTATCGGAGAGCTAATTGGGAAATTAGGCGAGAACATCACTTTGCGACGCGCTGCTGTGGTAACTACGAAAGATTCAGGCAAAGAAAATAGCATAACTATTGCAACAACCGGTGGATATGTTCATGGAGGAGATGAATTAACCGGAAAAATCGGGGGACTAATCTTATTGCAATCATCAGGTGAAACTTCTCAACAACAGCAGTCATCACAAATAATTACTAAATTGGCGAGAAATCTCGCGCGTCAGATAGTTGGCTTAAATCCAAGATACATAAATGAAGAAAATAACATTAGATTTGATGATGGGGTAGATGATAGAGAAAGTTTCCTGAACGAGAATGTGCTAATGAGACAAACAAGTTTATGGGGAGGTGGATCAATTCGAGATGTTATGAAGCAAACGGAATTGAATACTAAACTTCAATTAAAAGTTTTGGACTTCGTAAGATGGGAATGTGGTGAAGGGATAGAGAAACAAGAGACTAATTTTGCTGCAGAAGTTATGAAACAAGTTGGCATGTCTTAATTTGTTGTGTCTGTCAATAAAAGTTATCTATTTACCATTACAGCCATAAATAAAATTAATCACCCGTGAAAATAAATTACATAAATTAACAATAAAAATATGGAATGACTGGATAAGGAGGATATAAAAGCATCTAATACCAAAATTATTAATATTCCACATCATCGTATCCATCGCTGGGTAGATGATGATGTCCTGGCCCACCAAACACGCCAGCATTAACAGGGTGAATACGATGTTGTTGTTCAATGAAGAAGGTCGCAGATTGCGCACGAGGGCGAACGAGAACTTGTTGCGCATTATTAATGTAAACGGTCTCTGAGAAGATTTTTGACGAAAGACTTGAGATTCGAATAGTGGGCACCAACAAATGACCGGTTTTAAGGGGAACTAACGTGATGAAAAACTTTTGTATTTCTCCAACCTGTGTTGTCGCACATCATGCAGAAAATGGAATGAAAAATTGTTGTTTCGTAAAAGAATGAGAATAAATTTTATTCTGAATTTCTTCTACCTTGGATTTAAAGCAGAATTTTTTGTGTCCAGATAATAACCAATTATCGAAATCGACGTGTACGTCATAAAAGAATTCCAGTGGTTTATCTTTGTCTTCACCAGGCGGTGGGTAATTCCAATACGACGATTGTTGAATTATCAAATGACAATGACACGGTTCTCCAACTACCAGTTGATTCGATTTTGTAATTATAAGCTCAACAGTATTCAGAACCTAATTTATAAAAAATATGATCATTATTGATGCAATTCACCTTTCAAGATTAATTACAATAATCATTTCTTCTTTACCTTTGATAATGGCACATCAATAGGGAAAGATATTTCGGATTTGAGTTCCGTTGCTAATTTGGTAACATCATCTTTATGGATTCGGTTATACTCCTATATATTATATATCATTTAATAATTATAATACATTCCACTTTGGAATTGACACGATAACACATACATACCTTCCAAAACCCTGCGACAACGTTCACCAATGACTTTTTAGAATCTCCGTGACTATTAAAAATTCGTTCACATTGTGTCGACTCAAATTCACCAAGATCTAATTCATCAGACATTCCATACCAATGATAGTCCGCATTTTGCAGTAATTGTTCATTTACATTGTCCGTGACGAATGTCAAGTGTTGTAATAAATTATGTTCTTTCAATAATTTGTTAAATGTATGTTTGATAAAATGTTCTATCTCTACAAGAACACATTAATTTAGATTCAATTAATAAAAAAAAATGACAAATTTCAATCTTGTAAATAATTTTCGAAACTTGCCATCTTTAAGCGTACGATGTTTTACAATAAAGTGTACTTGCGTACTGATTATTTTGGAGTTTTCTATTTGTAAATTATCTTTTTTTTTTGATAGAGAATAGAATTAGAAAGTTATCTTATACTAATAATCCATATAAATTAAGAATATCTCCTTACCTTTCCTGGATAATTTGTATACAAAGGATGCATGTTGTTTTGGAAATAAAATCTAATAATATTATCAGAAGAATACGATTCAATCCAAGCTACATTTTAAATAGCATGACGAAATATATTCTTACCATGGTTGACTCTGTCTGCGCTGCGTTATCTACGACATTATACATTTTTGAGGGGAGTAAAGTAGTGGATAATATCCGAACGGGTAATGATCCATTCGATGTGATATCCATTTTTAAGTATAGACTATTATATGTTAATATATACATAGCAGATAAGCAAGCATTATTATTTGCTATCAAAGTACAACTACAATAAGGAATATTTACCAGTCATCACGAAATATATGAAATTCTGTAACAGAAAAAGGTAACCACACCTTTACCGTGTCGATCGATGAGAAAACACGTGATTTCCCATCACTTGCATATTCCACCGAAATTTTAACCTGTGATAATTAAAATAGATTAAAACAAATTGCCAAAAAAACTAAATCAACAACAAAACTATTGTGAATTGAATATTGATTCACTTTATGCTCTATTGAACCCCAATTACAGTCATATGGGATTTTCAATAAGATTATTCGATTTGGTTCATTTGCAGGTATCCGTATTCCAAATTCAGTAAGTTCCAATTCCTCTTCGCTTATAATTTCATCGGATATCGTGTCATCTTTTATACCCAAATAATTATTGATTTTATGTAATCGCTGAATTCAAACAATGCAAACATTCAACCACAACATACCAACCACAGACTTGATCACAGCATGATACGTAGATTGTGAGGGAAAAGATAATCCTTCAGAAATCGGCTTAAGAATTAATGTGCCCTCTTCGACACTCTTTAGACCAGTAAATACTCGCGCGATGAAATACTGTTGTTCACCAATATGAACTGTTATCAAATCAATAATTATATTAGATTCTTGTATTTATAAAAGAATTCATCAATAAAAAAGATTAAATAAAAAAATAAACTTACTTTCAGTAGGAGCAACAACTTGAGCTCTTAAAATGGCTGGATGATCATTTATTCTAAAAGCTCTTTTTCTGCCTTCGTTTAGGAAATTATGTGTGAATATAATTTTTCCAATATTCATACGACAATTTTCGACTACATAACTTCCACATGCTGTCGTCTAACAATAACAAAAAATAAAACATAAAGTCAGCTTAATAACAAGACAAATAAGATCAATTAAAATTATTTATTTACATCTGAATAAAGATGATATGTGTTAATTCCAGGTTTGAGTGCCTCGTCTCTAATTACAAACCAAATTTCATCGTTTTCTCCGCTGACGAGTCGAACTGCGAGTTGATCAAAAGTAAATGTCTAGAAGAGAAAAATTAAAGTTTAAAAGAATTCTAAAACCGAGACACGAAAAAAAACCATAAGTTACCGTTAACAAATTGTTTTTGAGTTGAACTTTTAAATAAGGTTCATCATTAGTGATATGGTCGACTATTGATGTTGCTAGAACTGCAAACATCGGTCTGAGTGGTCTTGCGACCTCTAAATGATTAATATATTGAATAATTTTAATCATAGATCAAAAAGATACCTTTAATGTAAAAAAAAAACAATAACTTTTACCAGTCTCCAAAGTAACCGAAAGTTCCTTTAATTCTTCTCCATAAAATATAGCCTGTTCTTTAGTCAATAACGCGTGATTCTTTAGCAGCGTCACGCACGCAACCGCATAAGTGTTGGTTATATTAAGGAATATTATTTAGAACGATAATTATGAAATCACATGCCAAACAGGAAAAGGATATTTTTTGATATGACCCAGTTCTTTTAAACACGCGGCATATTTAGTCAAAAGACTATTTTCAATTACGGACCAACCATGTTCCCCATAACACCACGGTAACTTTTCCATTAGTGTAGCAGCATCACTATAAATTTGACGATGACTATGATCGTAATCAAAAAATATCTGTTAAATTCATTTGAAATGAATGCGAAGGAAAAATGTATAACTGATTGTGTGCATGAGTAAATTCCTTACAATTGCAGAGCGGCAACATCGCCTTGTAATCGCAATAAACTTCGGGTACGAGTGCTTGCTTCATAGGCTCTTAGTGCTCTGTTTGTTATTCGCTATCGATAACAAAGCACTTTAACTTTGGTTCATAGGTTAAATGCATAACTTGATAAAAAATTAAGTACCAAATAAAGAATATCGAAGGATTCTGCCGATTGGAGAGCAGTCACTAAATCTGCATTTGTAATTACAGGCGCCTTTGTAGTTTCCTCATCATGATTATTCAATTGAGACGAGGGGAAATGACTCAAAGCCGTTATAAAAGGGATATCCGATGGTAAATGTCCGTAGTATATTCCCAATTTGTCAAGCTAATCAAATTTAATATGATAAATAAGCATGCATTGAATGGAGGAAAAATTATTATATCTAACAAAGTCGAAAAGCACTCAATCACCTGTTTCCTAGCGAGATCGAGTAACTCGCCTTTTGAAGTATTAAAAGCAATCAACGCCTCCTCTTCAAAATCATTAGACGGCGCCAATTCTTCACATTCGTCTACAACACTCATACACGACGAATATATCCACGATTCCAAAAAGTACTTTCCTATACTTTCCTTGCTGTCGTTGATCGACCGCGCAAATGACGAAATAAATATTTGCGCACGTCGACAAATTTCAATAGGTCTATGCAATCTACCCAATAACTGACATTGTCGTGCAAATAGATAATTCCGAAAATCGAACACGGATATCTCGTTTTGCATTATAAGATCACGATATGGTTTTTTTTTAACGTCTAAAATTTTGGCACTGTCATCTTTGGGTTCTTTTCCACCAAAATGACCAAACCATGCTAACGCCCTATCTAATTTGGATAAAATAATTCTCATTAATATCAAAGATAGGTTGATTGCTAGGTACAGTCGCACCTCGTTATAGACACACTCGATATAGTCCCAACCTCGTTATATTCACACTCTTTCCCCGTACCAAATTTGACCGCCACACCTTATATTCCTGTTTCCCGACCCTGTGATTATAACGAGGTATGCTGTATATATTAAAAGAGGCAAGGAAATGATCTACCTTTCAGCACCTGGAAAAACGAAGCCTCTAATTCATCATACTGGAGTAAAGCATCTTCATGTAAATTCATTATTTCAAAAGATTGCGCTAATCCTTCCTAAAAAAGTAACATTATTAAATTTTACATAATTGACAGGAATGAATTCAATTCAATTAATATATTCCGAAATTTTACCTTCCAAATAAAAAACGTACAATAATTCCAACCAGGCTTTGTTCTCTGCGCGTCAAATCGACGTATATCATCTTCATATTGCATTACATGCTGATCAAAACTACTGAGTATCCCTTCTTTAATTTTTGATATTGTATCTTGCCAAGCTTCTAAATCCTCCGAATCATTATCTGATAGTCTTAAATAGACGCATCTATTGTTATAGAGGAAAATTTAGAAATCGTTTCTAATAATAATATGATAATGAAAATCAATCGGGGAATAACGTGCCTGTCGCGTTTGTTTGTATTAAAATCTGCTTTAATTTTGTCGAAAACTGTTCCTTTCATATTAAAATATTTGGCAGCGGCGTTTCTTATTGTTTCATGATGAGTGACATAAACAATCAACCATTCTTGATTTTTTTTAGAAGAGACAATGGTTAACCAGTCACGAATTTGTTTTTTAACTGTTTGTCGATATGTTTCGTTATCCTATATTTTTTACAGTAACATAATAAAGTTTGATCGAGAGACAGGTGAATTGATGCAGTTGCAGTTGCAGTTGCTTTGTGAAATCATAAAATCAAGCATTATTTGATTGAGCATAAATTTCTTGTGAGAATATCATTCATTCGATTCCATATTTTTCGCGAAATTGAATAATTCTTTTGGCAAATTAAGTCCGAAACTACTTACGTCACAACTCACGAAATATAAATTCAAATATGGCTTTTCGAGGAGTGAGGCAGGCAGTTGGTGCTGCTTTTCTCCAGTATCAGGCGTAAGACGCTTAAGCTCCACACCCAAGGTATGTATAGTACGAAGAGGTCTATTCGCAGATTTCCATTGTAAATTTCGCAGTGGGAGATGTGTAGGAAAGCCTTCGGCAACATACTGCCAAAGATCAAATTCGTCGGTATCTTTACGCGTAGAATTGAGTAAAGAAAGAATGAGAAAATTTGTTTATTTTACAAAATACTCAATGACACCTTACAAGTTATTGTGACCTTCTTGCTGTCCATGTTCGAAGAAAATGCGCAGCGCTCTACTTTAAAAATGTTGTAATATTAATTTATATACATAATTCCGGCCTGAATTGTCTAAAATTATAGAATACATTGATCTACGCGCACCAACTTTTTTAGTTTCGAAACCCTAACCCTATTTTTTGAGTTTCGACGGGCAACGTTTTTTGATACTTGACCCGAATTGCTGCACAACTAAAAACATATTTCGAGGAACATGAAATTTTTTATTTTGTCATGTCGAAAATATGCAATACACAACAATGCTTTTTTCACGAACTTATGAAATGGCACTTGGATTCTATTGATAGTGGTGACACTTTTTACTTGGAAATTGCTACGAAAATGGATTCGGAACAAATAGCATTTGAGTACTTTCTCAAGTTGAAACATTATCACGATGGCTATGGAACAAAATAGACGACGTTTAAGTGATTTCTTGAATCTGCAGGAAATAGCACCAAATTGGTGAATGACGGCCAAAGACGTAAAACATGGTGTCGATATGGTGAATTATCATAAAATTACCCAATTTATTCTTGCAACCTGCTTCTAGGAAACAACAAAGATGAAAATAAAGCATTTTAGTGGTATAAAAAACGGAAATATTAGAGCCTTGGCGTATGTTATAAATGGGTACGGGGACAATTAAAGATGAAAGTGAGATATCTCAAATTGGCAAAGGGAAGTCATAAAGATCTCCCACCTTTATACAACCTTGCTATGTTAAAAGGGTATAAAGGAATATCAAAAAATTCAATACAAGGCAATGAATGGTGTCGCAAATTAGCAAGAAATAATCATTCCCAGACTTGCTATTTGTTATTAATGGTATATAGGCATTTCATTAGTATCGTGAATCAAAAGGAAGCCATAAAAATGCCTGAATGGGAAGAACATATGAAAACAGATATATCATTTAAGACATATAACGATAATTTTGTTTGGTGCTATGAACATGGCCAAGGAACTAAAAAATATGGAGAATAAAACATTCAAGTGCTATTTTCAATCAGCAAGTTCTGTTTGCGTTGAAGATTTGGCCGTTTAAGAGATGGGAAAAGAAAACACAATTCTACTCATAATGCTTTGAAATATCCCACTCTATAAGAAATTACGTTATTGATAAGAATAATATCCGTGTAGATACTTCATTCTCTATTTGAACTGTCCTTTGGTATTATTTTAATAAATAAATTATTGGACGGCATTTTTTTTTATTCGTGTAGTGCACTCTCATTTTCTGACACCAAGACATAACGGTATACACGAAAATTTGCCATAGTGCATTTGACGTAATTTTCATTTGGAAATTTTCATTTCCGAAGCGTAAAATTCCAATACTATTATTACTTTTCTGATCAGACAGATGTTTATAATTATAACGATCACTTCTAATCTTAAAATTGCAAAAAAATGTCTACAATATTTTCCTTTGTACTATCTGTATTGCTTGGATTATAACTATCGCAATATTTACTGCTGGAATTGTAGTACGTTAAATGACTTTATTAGAATGCAAATAACCTATGGCCTCTTCTTACCTCTTGCATTATATTTTAGTTGCTTCCTATCGCCGGCGTTTCTCTTATGATCGCTTGTATCAATTGCATCAGTTATTTTGGCATCAAAGGTCCTGAAATACATCAGAATACTTCAAAATAACAGTAAGGAAATCTTGTGTAATATGATTATCTAATCACATAAATTGCTCCTAAAATTTTTTCGATTCTCATCTTCAAATATGTCGAAAAATAGATCTTAACCATTTGGACCTTAATCATATCTATACCTTCGAGGAATTCGAGTATATAAACGACCAGCTAAAATGCCATACTTTGGAAATTAACGGAGAACCTGTTAATCTTTTCGAGCTTGACAAAAACGGAAATCTAAGACCTATGCCACAAGTAACTATTTCTATGGAAGCTGCTGTCTTAGAAATTGGCAGGCAACTCGGTAACTGGGTCAGGGACTTCCTCCCAAGGAGGTTTCAATTTCCATGTTAGAGGTAAAAGAACGATCCGTGCCCCCGATGTATCCTTCACTTCGAAAAATGTATATCGTCATTTGACTCAACAACAACTCTGGACCTTCCAGGGTGAATCATTCACTCCAACATTTGTTGTCGGGGTTGGGGATACTGCAAGTATATCAAAGTTTGAGGAGTTGGATGACAAGTTTAAAAGTGAGTACTTTGCAATGGGAACCTCCGTACAGCTCGGTTGGCTTATCGATCCCAAAAAACAATAGAATCTGGGTATACAAGCGGAATCAGCACGGGAATGTCTTTCGTTGTGAGCACACCTGGGGGAATATAGATGGTGATAATATTTTGTCGGGTTTTACGTTGAATGTTGAGATGATCGAAGATGCCATTTCACAAGTACGTCGTCATTGTATTTATTTTTACTTATACAGTAAATTCATATATTTTGATCTGCTATAGACACCATCTGAAAGTGAGGGTGAGTTAGAAATTAATTGTCCTAAGTGTAATGAAAGTTTCACTGTAAATTATCTTTTCATGAAACACTATGAAGAACGTCATGCATGTAAGCGTAAGCGTATAGATTAGAAATATTAGAAATACAACGGTTATTGTGAATATATTGCAAGTATAAGTCGCATGGCGTTGATTATATTTCAAAACACTTTCATAGCTGTAGAAACTGTAGATCGCGTGATGCCAACATGAATTCACGTATTATAGAATTATGCATTATTCTTGCATAGTAATATCTAGCATCGATCAAAAAATGTTACGTATAATAAAGTTTGTCATTCTCTTGTTTGTTTTATTATTTCTTCTTGTACTATTTTGTTTGGGTTATAGTATTGTATTTTATTATACCTTTGACTCTTTCTGTTGTTTCAAGTTTTTACTATAGTTTTCTATTCGCAGTTATTGGTTCTGTTGATTGGTTCTTTCGTTCATTTTTGATCTTGTTTTACTTCTTCGATTCGCTGTCTTTTTTGTTTTTGGTTTAGTATTTTTTCATTTTTGTTGTTCTTGAAGTTTTGGTTGCTATAAGAGTTGTGTCTTGATTGCTTCTACGATATTGCTATGATACTTACAACGTGTTAGTATTGTTGAAAGATAAATAGTTTTCATGTTGTATTTTTATTTAGTTCCTTGTGTTCTGGTTTCTTTATTATATACATGATATATATATTATATTATATCGATAGTTCAGAAATCACAAAATGTAAATATAATTTTGAAACGGCTGAAAAAATTTCATCGGAAATCAGAAGCAGACGTTTTATTAGACAGACAAGAAGATTCTAACTATCTATTCTACTCCAACATCTACTCTAACATTACGTCATAAGAATACCTTTAATTTATATCAAATAGCGGAAAGCTCCGGCGAAAATTGTCCTAAGAAAATAGCATCACTTCATGCACAAACTAAATGAAACATGAAATTCAGTATTATCGTTAATTTTTCTTTTCATTGAAACTGCGACGACAGTGCAGTCAAGCAACAAAACCAGACAAAGTGAACATAAATGCTTCATTTAATAATCTTTAAAATGTAAAAATGAAAATATATTATATTAGTTGTCTCTAAATTATTATATATAAATTGTTCGATAAAGCCCAAATTCAGATATATATACATGTATATACCGATCTTAAACCAAACTCGAATTCGTATATACAATGGTAGGAACACTATATAGAACGAACCACCTTTGAATGTGGCCAAATTTATGAATCAAGCCTCATGTGTCAATTATTGTTAGTAATTTTACTAAAAACGACTAAACATAAAGTCTCATTCAATTCTTTTTTTGTTTTATATATCGATATACAGTAGTCACATTACCATTCTGATTCATTCTATATAATACTTCTTAAATTTGATTGGTTGATCAATAAAATATAAGATAAAGGTGGGTCAAAACAAAAGGATCCTCATTAATAGTATGTGAAGATTTTTTAATCGCAACTAACGTTAATGGATCAAGGTAGCTATCACCTTGGTCTGTATACCATTTCTACTGGTAGAAATGGTTGACTTTGATAGGCCGAAATTAATGTATGTGCGTGTAACATTTTCTATATTCGTGAGAACAAGAACGACATAATAAATCGCGTATTAGCGATACGAATATACGTACTTGCTGTCGGTAATGGCTGCTTCAGAAGCCGTTCTCTTTCTTTTAGTATTTTGTATTATTTCATATTTCAGCATCCGTTTTTTTTTGCATTTTATTGACAAAAAATTTAAGGTACGCGTAGGATCTATAGGTTTCTTGTCATTATCAGATATTTTGTATACTGGCAAACGTCAACCAAATGGAATCCAACAAGAACAATACACGTTTAGCATCGCCATCAATAAAATACATATACAAATAACTAGACGACGATCAGGAACAATTTCGCCAACCGCACAAAGAGGAGCATGGATTACTTTAACAGTCGAAGGTGTCAAAGTGTCGTTAAAACTGCTAACAAATTCTCGTACTGCACAACCAACAACACTGTGCCGGCAAAAAAGTCTGGCAACCGCTGTTCCGCAAAAAGCGTGGTGGTCTTCATTGTGGGTGTTGAAATTTGCAATGGCGAAAATCTCAGCGATCCCTTTTCAATTTGTGCTCTCGATATTAACTAATATTATAGCATTACAAATTACAGAGATCGAGGTGCTATTAGAGGACTTAGGACAGTTCAGAGTGGAGGGAGTGACGCTAGACTCGAAATTATTTGCGCATGTCGAAAATGAAATTAATAGCAGCAACAAAAACATTAGTCATCATTATCGAGAACATTCACATCAAGAGAATCATTCTATTAAAAACAGTCGGCACATGTTTTCAAACAAAACTTTAAGAATCATACTTTCATTTAGTTCATTATCAGTAATAGACATTGAATCAACTACGCTTAATCAAGAAAAGTCGTGTTCAGCATCATCATCATCATCATCATCATCATCACCCGCTATTTCGTTTCCATATTCATCTTCATTTAAGTTGTCATGTTTTCTATCTCCTACATGTACCAGTTTGATTTCCGTCGAACCTGAAGTGAATATTACAGAAATTAATCTTGGATTAGATGGAATATTGCACTTGGTGAAAGTGATCAAGGGTGAATTACTTCTAGCGAAAAAATCCTCTTTATCATCTCAAAACGCACCTTTGGCACAATTACCTCCGCCAATGAATAATAATAACAATAATTCGCAAAATAAATCGTTTTCATTTTTCGATTCTTCTATTGGTCGTAGAATTGTCCAACCACGAAGAAAAAAGACTCCAATAGATTTTCTCAGTGCGGCATCTATCAACATCGAACGAATACACGTAAAATATGACTATATTTGCTTAGATAACGAGTTATCTTTACCAACCGGACTTGAACTGACACTCTCTGAAGTTTGCACCTCTATCAAAAAACTTGATCATCATACAAACAATGATAACAACTTTTCCTCCGGAAAGAAAAAATCGATTTTTTTCGTAGAATTATTGCCCAAAGTTTTATCATTTGAATTTAATTTCTCCTTGGCTAGCGGTTATGCGGATTTATTTGATTCGAGGGGTAAAACTCGAACAATGCAAATTGACAAAATTATGAATACCATGAAGATTTCGAAACCATTCGATCAATTTCGAGATGACGAGGATCCAAATTTATTTTCATTAATTGGGAATCTTGATATTTTGAATCCAGAACTTTTAGTCGACTATCAGCATCTTTCATCTTATTTGTCTATTCTGAATTCATTGAAGAATCTTGAGGTTGATATGAATTCAAAAAATAAACCTCTTTCTGAACTGCCATCCAATCCTTCTTTACCAGTTTCTTCTGATCCGCAGAATAAATTCAGTGATATTCCCAAAATTGTGATTACAGTTTCAATCTTACGACCTACTCTTAAATTCAATAAGATTCCAAACTTTCACGATGATCAAGCTCACAAAGGAAGAAATGATGACTCTTCTCTTATATTTGGATTCCAAGATATTTTAGTGGACTTTAATGGTGATTATAACGAACTGAATACTCTATCACAACAGAAACAGAAATTATCAAGGCGTTATAGCAAAGGTTGGGTCGCGCCTTCTTTTTCATTTGTTTATAATCTGGTCGCGTGTTTGAAAACGCGAAACATGCGCGTATACACACTTGAGAATGATTTATTGAATAATCATTCATGGGAAGTTAACGTGGTGGCTTCTGCGCTTGGAAGCATTCAATCAGACAATAAGAAAGCTTTTTTAGAAAAAGAGACAATACAGGCAGATCTAAGTTGGTTAATCGACGTCTTGGAAATCAAATTATGCGATAAAGATGACTTTAGCTTATTACGTAATATTTTCAAAGATATTAACAATTTTAATGAAAAGGATGACCACTATTCCGTGTATGATTTAGAAGAAGAAAACCCTGAAATATGTGTGCACCCTCCTTCACCGTCTACTGATGCAGAAATGGTGCAAACACTGACGATTCCAGAAACAGTTCAGCTTCATTTTTCACTTACATCAGTTAATATAAAGATTGCAGAAAAAGATTCCGTAGTTGATCCATCAGTTTCGCGTGGGTTTGATGTTAGACTGCAAGCTATCGCATTAGAATATCGTGGTGCTAGAGTGTGTGTCGATCCTACTTCTAGTTATAAGGAAAGAGCTGGTCTTGGGCTTTCCTCGAACGATGATAAGCTCGATTTTACAAAAGAAGAAGGTGGACAAATAAGAGGATTTTTCAGGGGCTTCAAAATAATCCCAATATTGGCGTTATGGGATCTGGAATTATTAGAAACAACAAGACCATTACTTAGTATTAAGGAAATTGAAGCACATTGTTTAGTTTATTTTGATTATGAAAAACCTGATATTCTTATAGTCGAATTAAAGGTTAAAATTGAAGGAATCAAATTGGATTACTCTTTATTCTATCATTACTGTTTATTGGTTGCTACTATGAATTTGAAGGATCTAATATCACCCCTGACAATCTCTAAAACTCCATCCTCACCACCTACACCAACCTTACCATTCCCGAAAAATTCATCACCAATCCCCAAAATTAAATTTGAGTTTAACTTGGGAGTCAATTATGTAGACATTTTTACGGAGCTACCCGAAAATCTCCATCTTTTCATCAGAATCGATAAATTAAGTTACAGATTTGCATCTGCTTCAATCGACCACGGACTCAATATAAAAAAAATTCGCGCTTTTGGCATTAATCCATCGAATAATGCATTATGGGACGAACTTTTGAATCTTATTGATACACGCATTCTGATATTGGGTGATTTTAACAAGCTCAGTTCCAAAAAAACCATTCGATTTCATTCTGAAGCCGTGCATGCTCGTATTCCATTCAATTATATAATGGCGGATATTTTAGATAATATTGGGAATTTAGTGAAATCCATAAAGACATTACGCCAAAGATTAATTCTTGGTAAAGAAGATATTTCTTTTGAACCGGAGGAAGAAGGACCGATTTGTCTGCCGACTTTACAGTTCAAGATTGAAAATTTGACATTTAGATTGGAAGACGATCCGTTTGAAGGTCAATTAGGACTAATTTGGAAGATTGGTGGGATAGAACAAAGATCTAGGATAGGAAGAGATGCTGCATTTAAGACAAAAGTAGAAGCGATTAAAGCTCACGAAGCTCAGAGACAGTCTAATATGGAGGTAAGACGAACCTCTATTGATAGTAATTTTATTAGTAATTCATCTAATTATGGTTTCAATCAGGGAAATAATGAATTAAACGACGGATCGGACTCGAATGCCAAAAAATCACCTTTGCGTCCGAAACTTTCGCCTCGCGCTAATGCTAACATTGAAGCAGCACAACTTGCACTGGACGAATATAACTCTCGAAACTGGATTAAACGCGTCAAAGCAGCTGACGAAACGCGTGCTAAATCAAATATAACAAGAAATCAAAACAATAGTGAGCAAGATCAACTTCCAATTAAAACGACAGATACCTCATCATCACCTCCGTCTTTATTAAAAGTCACTATTGAAAGAGCATTGATCACACTTTCCACCCCATCATTTCCTATGGAACAGCTTCCACAATTTATGCACAAAATTGGAAAAGGGTTACCATTGGATACTAAATTCACACTTTTAATCCCGATGCATCTGAACTGCAAATTAAGAGAAGCATGGGTACAGCTAAGAGACTATCCCACCCCTTTAGCACATATTCCTCCGATGGAGTCCTTCGAAACTAGAAAATTGTACTCGTCGGTATTTGATGGAGATCTTGTCATAGGAGAGGAGCTTCGCGGGGTAGAAACTGTTCGAAAGGCAATTGTCACGGTTGTTCCTGATGGATTCGGTAGAATTCACAGTATTTTGGTGCCTAGAACATGTTCACCTGTGAAAATATATTCTGATTTAAATATCGATATAAATTCCACTCATACCACCGTATTTTCATGGGGAATCTCCATGCAACCTGCAGTATTGGACATTGCAAGGGTATTTGAAACTTTCACGAAACCAAGTCCAGATCCTTCGGAATTGGTTGGATTCTGGGATAAACTTCGATTGATGATGCATGTTCGAATTATGATGGAATTTAAAGGGGGCGGCGATGTACGCTTCTTATCGAAAGGGTTGAGAGACCCGTATTTTGTTACTGGACTTGGATCTGGATTTGTCTTATGTTTTCGAAATGGTGTAAAAATTCGATTAGGATATTCGAATGATGCTGGTGAATTTCTGCAAGTGGATAGCGAGGAATTTATACTAGGAATTCCAGATTTGGCTGAAATGGTTGCAAACGGAAGCTTATCTGCCGAAAATCACATAGTCAATGCAAAGAAATTCAGAAAAGAATTAATACGTGATCCAGAGGCCAGCACTATGAAAACTCAAAGTTCATCTGATACGCTTGTGGATTACAGATCTAATGCAGGTCTAATTAAAGTGATTATGAAAATTGGGGGTGGTGTGAGATACGGAATGGGATGTCAATTTCATCGAAGTTGTCGTAATGACCAAGGGATTTGCCCGCGATGTCATGGACAGGGTAATTGTCGTCTCAACGATTTCGTTCCACATTACGAAGTTACCACCAGAGTCCCTGAATACGCATTTGCTACTGATAATCAAGTAAGTCAAACATTAAGTTAATAAATTATTTTCCAAAAAAAAAAAAAATAAATTGATCTCGAATAAATCAAAACAGGTGTATGATTCTTTCAGAGGGTTTCGCTCGGATATTGTACACTTGTCCTTTAGTATGATGTGTCCTATAATTTGGAATGATGATGATTCCGTGAATACAAACAACATCAATAAGAATAATAATGGTGAAAAGCAGCAAGTCGGATCATATAATTCAATACATGTCACACCAAAATCGATTCAACACGCCTTTGCTTGGATTTCTCTTTTTGATAATGCCATGACTTTACCTATTCGAACTGGCGCTCTTTTCCCAATACACGAAATCCCATCTCCAAAGCTTCCGAAATTTTTGCATACATTAAAATATAAAGTCTGTTTAGCCCCGTTATTCTTGAGTTATTTCTATAAAGAAGATGCGCTTGATGATTGGACCAATGGACGGACACAAATAGTCGGCTTAAAGGGAAAAATCGGACATTTCAAAATTGATATACATCAAAAAATCCAAGAAAAGTTTGTGCAAGTGGATGAAGGCGAAGTCAAAGTTCGCGATATGACATTACATGAGGCAGAAATGGATCTGAAAAATTTGGATGTACGTGGAATCGCTGCTCGATATGTCGAGAATTCACTTAAAACTTTTGGTGGAGATGATGACGAATTTGAAGAGCAAGGATGCAATGATCAATTGGGCAAAGATGACGATTTTGTCTTGATAAATCCTGAGGATGAAGAATGGGTGGATGAAGATGATTATAAAGAAATCGATTCTTCATTACCAACTGTAAAACCAAAAGTTCGCGTTTTGCCATTTATGCGTTGTCCACAGTTGATGTATTATAAGCATGCACCAGAAGATGACACAGATGAAGACAAAAAAATGGATCAAGAAGCTCATGTATGCGTGATGGGTCAAGGACGAGGTAGTTTTTGATGTTTGTTTTTCATAGCAATCTATCGAAAAGATTTTTAATCATCTCTTTTAAATTTTCCACGTCAGATACACGTGAAATTCAAATATGTCTTTTAAAGGAACGCTTGAATCAGATTGGTCATGAAATTTTGAAACTAGAACAACTTGTAAAAGACATTGATGAATTGATTGTGTCGGATGCAAAAAATCAAAATTTAAGGGAACTTAGAGATGAGGTAATTCATGAAATATATTGAATTCTCATTTGTTGAATTAATTATTAATGTATTATTATCGATACATTAAAGTCACAATTCATTGGAAAAACGATCAAAATTCTATTACGTAAGCGAGATTTAATAAAGCGTTACATTGAAAGACTCGAAGAAAGCCTTAACAATAATCCAGATGATCACATTGAATACCAGCAATCAATGCAAGAACTAGAAAATGAAGATGATGACAATGAGAATGAAACTGATAAGAACGACGATGGTGATGAAAAAGAGAGTTTGCCAGAAGATAATATTCACGGATATAATGTTCCGTTATGGGCTGATTCACTGGGTCAATTTAGTCATCGCTTCGTAATACATAATGCTCAAGTATTATGGAATAATTCATTACGAAATCTTATTTATAAATTCTGGGACTTGGTTGAGCAACAACAAGGTCTCACATATTACATGTCAACGAATGCTGTCAAACTCATCCGAGATCTACAGAAATACAGCGAAAAAATAGAAAAGCCACTTACCGAAGAACCGGACTCCAATACAGCAGCAACTTCTTTTGGTAGTGAAGCATTTGATGCTCAAATGGCTGCGGAATTATTACGTAAATTAGTCGGCGAGGAAAATACAAGCTTTGTTGTGCCAAACGAACAAATAGTCGCTGATAATATTACTGGAAGTGAAAAAAATCCGATACAACGTAAAAAGTCCATGAATCAGTTGGATGATATTCCCGCCGGTTACACATTATGGAAAAATTATCTTATACAACTTTTCAACACCCAGATTAACTTTCAAAGTGATAAAAATCCTTCGGCGAGTATAATCATGTCGTCTGAAAGGGCACAATTAAAAAGTGTTTCTATTCTTGAGGATCGATTAAAGGGTGATGCAAATGAAGTGATAAAGTCGAGAATATTGTTTGGATTAGATAATACTCAATTTTTGCTTACTTGGAAAAAAGAATTTAATAATGAATATTCTAGACGATTAACTGCCAATAATTTTGGTGCTCAAGGAAAAGAAAATTGGCCAGCGTGGGTTCCAGTAGAAGCTTTATTTAATTATGATAGGCAAAGTTCTTTTCCATTTCAGCGAATTGTAAAACGAACATCTGCGACAATGCTATATGAAAAATTCAATCATTTACGTATAATAAGTTCTGATATGGACCAAGATGATAATTCAGAATCTACTATCTGGGGTCAATCAGATGGTGACAAGTTTGACAAGAGAATTGATTCATGGCGTATAAATTTCCCGCGATTTAAATTCTCTGCCACTTCAGCACAATACTGTGTATTTGTCGACATGGTTTCTGATTTGCTAATGTATCGAGAACCTGCCAAGAAAGAACGAACGGAACGTTTGGAAGCAATTTTATTCGCTGCCGATTTAAATGATTTGAGAGGCGCCGCAGAGCTGGTTTCATCGTTACAGCAGAAAATTCGGCAGATGGATGAACAGCGATATCAAATACAGTCTAATTTAGCGGGATTGGGTGAAGATGGCGTAGAGGAATTGTGGAAAATCAAAGCGAGATTATTAAACTCACAAGAAGAACTTTATGTCTTAATGGAGGCAATTACTGCCACTCAAACAAAGAAAGAAAAAGCTGAAAATAATACTGCATTAAAAGCCGTAGTTACGGCAAATGAAGTCGTATGGCTCATGAAATTGGATAATCGGAAATCATTTTGCGAATGTGGTTTAACGAATGCACATTTCGTGTGGATGACTCGCGAAGATAATTCAAGCAAGAACACATTAGAAATTGATCATTTACGCGTGTTAAATAAAATGCCTTCGCCCGTGTTCACTGAATTAATTCAACCTTATATCAGGGATCCGCGACGACAAGTTGATTTCAATCGTCATAAAATGTTACGAATATATTGGCATGAAAGGGAACCTGTTGCTGGAATTGCAGTTGTTGAGCATTTAGAAGTTAATTTTTTCCCGCTGAAATTTCAAATGCAGTATGAAGTGGGGAAACAAATTATAATGTACATATTTCCGGAGAAAAGGGAAGAGATTATCACCGCTACTAATGATACTATTGATCAACAGCAGCCAACTATTAGTGAACACTTATCAACAACACCAGCAGAAGGATTATATAGTCCTCTATCACCAAGACGCAATTCTTTAAGTTCAAAGGGTGCTGTTGCAGCTGCTGTTAATAAATTCACAGAAGCGACGATAAAAGATGACATTTCAGTTGTTGATGGTGTTTATTCGAACAATGAAACAGACACAATTGGCACCACACCTAATGAACCGATGTCACCTTCAAGTAATCTCACTTCTGGGCCAAGCAAAAAGTCGCGCATTTGCATCACTGCTGACAATGCGTATTCGAAAGAATCGGATGAATTGGCGTTAATGAAAACGCGTGCCTCTCAGAATAAAACATTTATATATATCAAGATTCCTGGAGTCAGGCATAATTTCAGTTATCAGGTAAATAATTTAGCATTTTATCTAGCATTTGAATTCCTTTTTTTTTTTAATTCATTTTATTTTGCAATCAAATTCAGGGTGCAAAAGAAAAAAATATTGAAGATCTCTACGATTTTGTATTTGAATTACCGACGCTAGAATATCAAAATAGAACTTGGTCGTGGTTCGATTTATTGGACCATTTAAAAAGAGGTAAAAGATCAATTATCACAGAATTTTATTCCATTAAAAGACAAATGATGTTAATATATTTTTGCATTTAGATATCCTTAAAACGATTCTTCTACACACTGGTGCATTGGTTCGTGAGAAACTTTTATCATCACGTCGTGGTCGTCAAGTCATCACACCAAATGCTGTTTCACCATCATTAGCGTCAATCTACGAGCAACAGAATCGACCGTTCAGTGCTAGTAGTACTACTTTGATAATGCCGGTTGATCAAACTCAGTGTGACGCAGCGTCCACTTTTTCTGATGAGACTTTGTTTCACGAGAATGCTATTGACACTTTGATTCCTGAAGAGGAATTATCATTGGAGGAAGAATTTTCCGATAAAGGATCAATAAAGAGTAATGATGGTGGAGGAATAGAAATCACAACATCAAGGACTGTCATCGTAACAAAAGCAAAAAAGAAAAAAGGATTCCTTGGATTAAAGTTTGTTTCTTTAGTTATTCGACTTTACATGGTTTATTATCATTATTATTCCTATTCTTAATTCATTATTATTATTGTTATTGTTATTGTTATTGCAAGCAGATCCAAAAAGAATCAAGACATACACGAATTGTCTTCATTTGTCGATACTCTCCCAATTATGCGTTCACGAAGAAATAGTGACGCTAGCAATATATCTCAGTCAAAATCATCTTCTTCACCTGCGTTGATTGTATCAGAAGAGGATGAAAAGGAATCCAAAAGGAAATTGTTATTAGGGAAATTGTACTAATAAACTGGTTTTATCATTAATATAATTTAAAGCATCCTTTCATTGGAATAATTAACATTTTTTAAATTTTGGGTTATGATGAATGACAGAGAGAATTTATTCATTTATTACTTTTGTTTAGATCAAATAATTTTTATTAATTTATTACCAAATCCAATTGTAATTTAATCATATATCATTTTTATTTATCATTGCAATCAGTGTTATTATTATTTCTTTCGATCATTCTTCCATTTGTACACTGCAAGTCCATTTTTATCTATTCCAATTTTCTTTCGACGTCCTTTGCTCTATTAAAGAATATATGTAATTATTATAAAAATTAACTAATTATTCGATAATAAAATAGAAAAATACAAACTATCAGGTTTTTTTGCGTAATCAGTTCCTGTTCCAGGGTAACAAACTTTTCTTCGCGTTCAAGACGATCAACCAGTTCTTTGTATTTGCTATTACGTTCGTTTTGCATTTTCTGTTTCATTTTAAAAATTCAAATTATTTTTCGCTTTTCTTAAAAAAGGATTGAAATGATAACTTCATTACCTGCAATTGTTTACTATCTTCGGGCGAAACTAATACTTGCTTTTCCAACATTTCAATACGTGGTCGATTGAATTTACGATTTACCAGTTCTGGTAGTGTATTAAAGTGTTTTGCCGGATCAAAATTTTTCACTTAAAGTATCAATTGATAAATTAAACACTTGTACGTACACACACACGCAAGAACGAAAAACAAAGATATATTACATTCTTCTTCGGTATCAAAGAAGATAATGTGATTCGATTCAATTTGATTTGCCTTTGTTTGTAGTGTGTCCTTTTTACTATTTTTTGTTCCTTCATTCTCTACTCTCTCATTATCTTCATCGTCATTTGTCACGAGAAAATGAAGTTGATTTTGTAATTTTTCGATTTTCTATCGAGTCTTAATTGAGACCTTGTCTGGTTTCCAAAATAAAAAAATGAATCAATCACAAAAACAATTCACCTTTTTTCCAATATCTCGTTGCGTTTTAATGTAATTCAAGTCTTGAGATTTTAATAGTTTGATGACATCGCCAGAAAAGGCGTCGTTTCTTTCTGATGCATGAACACCTCCCTTTAACAAAACGAATTAATACAAAAGATTTAGTTTTGTTTGAATTCAGACAGTTCACTCTGAAGAATCATACTTTTGTCTTTGAATTAATCATTTTAAAATAAAATTCATCAGGATTTCGAAAGTACGCTTTCTCGCGCAACTTTTTGAGGCGTTCTTGTTTTGCATGGTAGTCTCTTGCACGAAGCACATAGTCTTTGTGTTTTTCGAGAATGCCGTAGCGTTCTCGTTTGTAGGGTTGAGCTCGTTCTTTGTGGTTTCGTCTTTGAACGGAGTTACGAAGTGAAGACATAGCTAATGTTTAGTTTTCATGTAATTTTTTACGAATATAATCAAAAGATCTGACCAATCACATTACACTAAAAAAATAGTGTTTCGTTTATTTACGCGTCTTTACGAAATGATAGTAATGTAATCGTCAAAAGTGCAATTAAGCTTTAATTGTGTTAAATACGCAAAAATGCATTTTATTCATGCTCTGTATCAAAGAGAATCGACCCATTCTCCAACAATAAGCATCGACTTATTATCTCCTGCAATAATTCTTTCGTCATTGAGCGCGTTTCCAACACATAACCACGGATCCCGTGACCCACCCCACTGCAAAACGTCTCGACGAAACTTTTCCCCAGCTTCTCTACTTAGTGGATCTTTTTCGAAAATTTCTTTCCATAATTTTCCTGCCAGCACTTGTCCAAACAAATAACTATAATAACCTGCTCCGTATCCAAATAAATGCGCGAATTGTATTTGCCAGGCGGTCTTTGGCACAGACGGAAATAGTCCGACCGTGTCTTGTAGATTAGCTAGAATTGCTGTCGTGTCAAAAGACGAGGTTGTCGCGAGTGATGAATGATAAAGTTGATCTAATAAAGCCATTACTATTTGAAGTTGTATGTCGATTGCAGCAAATGTTGAATGTGCTTTTTTGTGAGATTTGATTAAATTAAAGGGTATTGGATCTCGAGTCTGATAGTGATTTGCGAATGTTGCGAGAACTTGAGGTGATGAGACAAAATGTTCCATTAATATTGACGGTAACTCGACAAAATCTGTAGGACATCGGGTACCTTGTTTATGAGATCATGGCGATATCAATACTTGTCTCGAATTTAGCAAAATAATAGATTTTATAAATAAAAGAGAAAGTTTCGTACCAGCAACATTGTGAAAATCTGTTCGACCAATCATCGCTACAAATATAGCAAAATATATCAGTGAGCTTTATCGACGTTAATAACATGATGTGACATATTCTCATACTCACAATGCATCGCGTGACCCATTTCATGAAATAATGTTTCAACTTCACCCCAACTTAGTAGAGTTGGATCATTTCGACCTCTTGGTCTTGCAAAATCGCACATTAACACTACAACAGGCAACTGATAAAGTCCGGTTTTTCCTTTCACTTTCACTCCTCGATTAAATGACGATAAATCGTTAAGTTCTGATAAATCAGAGATGAGATGATCATTTTCATTATTATCGTGATTAACATCAACGCGTCTTGAGCATCTCACAGTGTAATGAGCAGCATTTTTGAATTTGCCATGACGATTAAACAAATCACAATAAATCGTGCCGATTTTTCCTTCTGTCTCATCGACCACATCCAATTTCCGAACATCTTCATGCCACACTTCACCAGGCATAACTTCGGCGGGTTGGAATGAAATGCCATATAATCGTGAGAAAAGATTTGATAATCCTTGAATGACCGAACCAACAGAGAAAAAGGGAGAAATCGGAGCTAATGGCTGAGCTGAAGATTGTGACATTACGGCAACGGTGTAATAATCGCGATCCCATGCATTTAAAGTTGCTGGAATTTTTGAGCCCGTGTATCTTTCTTTGGCTTTTTGAAGAAGTTGGAGATCCGCGAGTGCTTTAGGACGATGATGATCCGCAAGAGTACGCAAAAAAGTTTGTACGTTCTCTTTTGGTTACATGAAAAACTTTTTAGTCTATTCCAATTTATTGACATGAAAATATTAAAAATACGAAATACTACACACCTACCTGGTGTTTTAACCATTTTATCGTTAAGAGACATGTGACCATAACTCTCCATGCCTACAAGATTGGCTAATTCTGCTCTTGTCCTTAATAAATTCTCTAATGTATCAATTTGAGATTTTGATGCCGAATTTGCAGCTATATACATGTCTTTTCGCACTTGCTCATCTTTCACGTATTTCAACACCATTTCCCATTGATTTGTTGGCAATATTGCCATTCGATTTGAATTAGCACTTTCTGTGTACTCTGGATTCAGTCCTTCAAGACGGGACGCGGGATAAACTTCAATTTGTCTAATTTCTCTATTTGGAGGTGTTTGAGCGAATTTACAACCAAGTGCAATAATCTTGTCTGATAATTTCACATATTGCTCTCGCTGTGATGAGGGGAGATGAATACCTGACTTCTCAAAATCACGTAAAAACACATTGGCTACTTGCACCTCTTCGTCAGAAAAATGTGAAGAGATTCTAGGTGTTGAAAGCACGCGTTTCAATACCTGAATTTAAGCGACAACACACAATTTATTTGAGCATGATAAGTGTTTTCGTTACACTATACGTAGTAGTAAAGTAATAATAGGATTGGATTTATGCATGCCAAAAAGGTAGAGGCAAAAAAATATCGATATAAATGTCTGATTTACCTTGTATAATTCGGTATTCGTATTCAAAGTGTTCATGTACGAACATAAATATACATAGGTACGATTTGCCGCTTGCGAAAATTCTTGATCTGGATGAGCATTCCGAACAAATTCCGCCAAATCTATCACTGAGCATAATACATTTGACAATTGATCCAAATTCTTTACCACCATGCGCAATTCTTCTTCCGTACTTGCTAGGCAAATACTATTTACTAGAAATTTTGCTTTGTTCAAGGCTTTATCAGCCGCCACTTGAAACCCTTGTGGTGACGTTAACTCAGGATTTCGAAATAACCCCGTCGACTTTGTTGTGAGTGAATTTGAGAAAAAACTTAAGTTCCGAGTACAAAAGGAGGAATTCCAGGCTTCATGGTCGTCGAATATTAGGCGCAATATCTCGTCTTGATTTTTATGCCCTACATTGATGGAAGTGACTATTGGAGTTGGAAGCTGTTGATTTGTAGTATTAGTATTAACACTGTAAGAAGAATGCCGCTGAGATAAACAAGTGAATGAATTTTTTGTTTGGCAAATTTCCGGCGAATCATGTAGTTTAGGTCTTCGAGAATAACTGTGCAGAAAGCGTAAAGTTTCTTTTCTTAGTTTATTGTATATCATAGCTTTCTTGTTGAATATACAAAAGTATTCTTCGAGTTAATGTCCAACCAAGTCTTATTTTGGTCTTTGGCTTGGTTAGTTGAGCGAGAAGCTGACAACGCTAAAATCAATGATACACACATTCGTGGATCTATAAATAATTACGAATTTAAATTTCTCCTTTTTTTACTGTTAACACGATGCCGAAAAAATTCAAAGGAGAAAATACCAGAGGTAAAAGCTTTCCTGAGGTTAAGTGAAGGTTTTTATTTAACAGTTGTCATTCGATTAGTGACCGCTGCGAAAGAACGTAAAGCAGCCCACCAAAACGAAGTAAGCACCAAAATTCAGGCGGAAAAAGAGCGCAAAGAAGCGGAAGAATGGTCAAAGGGAGCCAAAGACTCTTCAAAAAAGGAAGCTGACCGACTAAAAAAAGTTAGATACAACACAACACCTTACAAATAGCTTTAATGTTTGCATTTTCTTCACTTCAGTATGGTTGAAAAGTTAATATAAATCTTTAGGAAGCACTGCTGGCGAAAAAACGAGAGGCTGCTACTCTTTTAGAAAAAGAAGAAAAAGAAGCTTCGAAGTATAAACCATTATTGAAGCCTTCAAAAGTGTCAGGCGAAGAGGTTAGTTAGCTATTTAGACAACATGATTGATCGATTATTTACCATATAAAATGCTAATATTCGAATTATATTAATTAGAAAAAGGCGATAAAGAGGACTCAAAAAGTCGAAGAAGCGACAACAGAACGACGTCTTATCCCTGAATATTCCGCTTCTAATATTGACGATGCTTTAGATTTGCTTAACGTTGTTGCTACAGAGGATACTGGGTCTGGCGGAGGAGTAAGCAGTCCACCATTGACTGCTGCTGCTCTTGATAGACATCCTGAACGCAGGTTTAAGGTAAGGTTAGCAATGATTGGTTGGTTTTTTTTTATTATTCCTAAGTTAATATGAAAACATCAAATCATTAGGCTGCCTTAGCTGCTTACGAAGAGAGAGAAATGCCAAAGTTAAAAAAAGAACATCCTGGATTACGATATACACAATTACGAGACATTATTTATAAAGACTTTCAGGTAACAACTGAATCTCCGAATTCACTGATTTCAATTCAATTTATTAATAATAATTCACCTGCTTCTATAGAAATCTCCCGAAAACCCTTTCAATCAAGCAAATACTCTTCGTTATAATGCTACCAAAAAGGATCAAGAAGAATTTATAGAGACAACTAGAAAAGAGATCGAGGATCGGCTCAGAGTGTGAATGGTAAAAAAAAAAAAACGAGAACGAGAAAGAATTCGAATAACCGACAATCCTGGGGACGCAGCTTTCTATATTTGAACATACGTGCACGATATCTTTTACTATATAAATATAGCTAGGCAGCAATGGATACAGAAGTGCATAATCGAATTGAAAGCTTGAGGTGAAAGAAATCAATTAAACAAGACATAAAGTATTCTGTTTTGAATATCAATTAAATTTATGAATCAACAAACAATAATTAATAACATTAATAACAGTAGTAATAATGATAGTAGTAGTAATGATAATAATAATTATAATAATAAATAACAATATCAAATATTTATGATTACCCGACTGACAAGGGTGCACTGAAGAAATTAACTTTATGCCTGCTACATCAGATTACCTGATGATAAACAGTTTGCAATTAAGAAACCAATTGCAAAGAATGTAACAAATTTCCAGCGGCAGCATGCAAAGCATATATGGTAACGAACTTCGTCTTTTGTACGAGTTTATTTCTAGCAATAGAGTCCGACCACGCTATCAGATCAAGCCAAGTTAACTTTACTGTTGCTTGAGAAAGATTCCAAATATCATTATATATACAGCGGTAATGAGCAATTCAAACACCAAATTTCGAGAGACCGATTTTGTAGAAATAATTGGTGATAGGGATTTTACTTTGAATGGTTGCGCGAAAAGATTCTCCACACTTGGTAAAGTACTAAATTAAGACGCAAGGTCGTTCTCGAAAGTAACCCATAATATTTATAAGGCAAAATGTGCTTTGATTATTTATATATACGCGTTTGCGTTAGTACTTTCAAACGCGATAATTTTTCTTTATGATGAAGTTACACCAACTTCATTGTTTTGGAAAATAAATAAATAACCGTGTGATAAAAAAATCGTTCTTTTTACAGAAACGTTGCATGTTGCCTTCCAAAGACTTCTTTGTTACCTTATTAACCTCGAGTCGTCAAACCGTCCGTCGTCTGCAAAAGCCGAAACATAAAAGAATAAACAAGTAAGAATGACAACTCCGTCACGAAGTAGTCTTGGCCGCGCCCGCAATAACCTACCGGGACGTCTTGAGATCCCGTCACCAATGACACCGTCACCTTCTTCCTCAGCACCATCTTCTCTTTCTCCCCTCATTGTACCAACATCAAATACACCAAATGCTAAAGTCTCCGCAGCTCAAATTACTAATGAAATTAGGTCACAGATTTTAAAGGTACAACCAAGTGACGGCGAATATGGAAACGGAGACGAAGTTCCCGTGATTATGCCAACGCCTGAAGCTGAAGGTTCACAACTGAAACCTGAAAATTTTACAGATTTACAGCGGCTGGGTGAAGGGGCTGGTGGTACTGTGATAAAAGTTCGTTATATCCCTACACAAAAAATTATGGCGAAAAAGGTTGGTGATTTTTTTTGTGGCAATTGTTTAATTGACTCATCGTGTCATTGAGTCTGCTTGGGATCAAAAAAAATTCTTGGATTTGATCGATTTGTCGTTTTACGTGCTTTTACTTATTGTTCTCAAGCTGAATAAGAAAAAAAAGTTGGCACAGTAATTAATTCGACTAAATAATTATTAGAAAATCAATGTTGATCCAGAGCCAATGTTTCATCGCCAAATTCTACGAGAACTCGAATTTCTTCAGCAATGTCACTCGCCAAATATTGTTTCATATTACGGGGCATTTTTAGAGGATCAAGGCTCATCAATTGCTATTATTATGGAATTTTGCGAGGGCGGTAGTCTAGATGCAATCTACAAGACCGTTAGCGTGAGGAAAGGACGTATTAGCGAAGACGTGTTAGGGAAAATTGGCGAGTCGGTATGAGTTGCGAGAGTTTTTTAATGATCGAGAGTCGTCGCATATTTTGAATTTTTATAATTTTTTTTAATTAGGTGCTTAAAGGGCTTGTATATCTTTATAATCATGACATTATTCACAGAGGTTAGTGCCTTTTTACATTTAGGTTACTATATTAAAAAAGACATAAACGCGAAAAATTTTCTAAAATCTTAGATATCAAACCTTCCAATATTCTCGTGACAAGACAAGGAGAAATTAAAATTTGCGATCTCGGTGTTTCCGGTAAACTAGTACAATCTATAGCCTCGACATTTTTGGGTACTAGTTATTACATGGCTGTAAGTATAGTAACTTGGTTTTAGTATTATCATATTCTCTAAATTACAATTTTTTGAAGAAAAAACGATTCCAATTATTTCTTGATGTTAGTGCATAACATAATAATTATACCACATGATTCATACATAGCCCGAGAGAATTACAGGCATGCCATATAGGGTTTCTGCGGATGTATGGTCACTCGGACTAACCATAATGGAAGTAGCGCAGAACCGATTTCCCTATCCAGTGTTATCACCAATCGAGCTGGTCGCACATATTGCGAATGCACCAGCGCCTGAACTAACTAACGAATATGAGTGGAGCGAGGATCTCAAGTCGTTTCTCAAATTTTGGTAAATTGTTTTTTCGACTTTTTAATTATAAATTCATTGCATCATGTTGGTGTTATTATTTATTGTTGTCTAAATATATAGTTTAGAGAAAGAGAGTTTAAAACGCCCAACTCCTAAACAAATGCTGCTTCATCCGTTTATTCAACGAGTTGCAATGAAACAGGTGAATCTACAAGAATGGATTAAGGATGTTTGGGATTGGAAAGACTAATGATGATGACGGGTAAAAAAGACAGATATCGTCGCAATAGTTTTTTGACGCGTGAATTATTTATTATCTATTTGTTAAAAACGACTACTAGTTTAGTAGTAATAATTTGATTGTTGATCAAGTATTTGGTAGTAAGTCAAGCAAGAGATGGATCAAAAAAAATTATCCGAGATGATCAAAAATATTTATAAGCACGATTTTTTTTGCATTTTTTCCCATCAACTTAATTTACGCGCGTTTCAATAAAAATATTAATTCATCTTCCACACGCGTAATTTTTGGAGAAAAATTCTTTCGCAGATATATAACAATGTAAAGAAAATCAATTACCGAATATATTCTTCATTAACTAATCTCACCGCGAATCGTATCCTAATCCGCGCATCATTGAGTTCATCAAAGAGCACACAGATTTCCCAAAAAAGATAAAAATAAGTCTTCTTACAAATACAAATTGTGCTACCAAAGGTTCTGACATAATCCTCATCTAATGGTGTAGAGCCTCAAGTTACATAAAAGACAATAACGAATAACTGTCATTAAAGTGGTGTGACTCGGGGAGCTACATGCAGTGTGAAACGAATGCTATTTCGAGAAATTACCCACACAAATAATTTTCTCACCAAACTTTAATAATAAATATAAATAGTAGTAGTATTCACTTGGGAACACGTACATAGCAAAATTGTCATTTCATAGTCTTTCGATTTTTTTATTTTTTATCTTGATCAAAATGAGCAATGCAACCGGAGGTCCAGATTTCGTAAAGAAGCTCTTCAAGTAAGACACTTGGCGCGTGGTTGGTTTAATGAGAGCAGTTACTCGAGATTGAGAACCTTGAGCTCATTGATCAATGTCGTGAATAATATTATATTTTACATCGGCATAGTGGACGAGTTTTTAATTGACGTGCTTTTTCTCCTCAGAATGCTTGAAGATGAATCGTATAGTGACAAAGTTTCTTGGGGTGTAAATGGTGACAGCTTCGTCGTCAAGGTATTGCAATAACTTTTTACTCCCGTTTCCCCAAACAAATTCGAATTAATTTTTACGGACAAATTTACAGGAAATTGATGCATTCACAAAGACAATATTGCCACGACATTTCAAACACTCAAATTTTGCTAGTTTCGTTCGACAACTCAACAAATACGACTTTCATAAAATAAGAAACTCTGATGACTCGAACGCTCCATACGGTGAACAGGTACGTTTTCGCGATGAATTCACAAAAACATAGCGATCTTTTTTCTAAACGAGTGATTAAATAATAAAATAAATAATAATTAATTAATTAATTAATTAATAATTAAATTGAAATTAAATTAAATAAATAAAATAAATTGAATCAATTAAATAAATAATCAATAAATAAATAAAATAAAATCAATAATCAATAATCAATAAACAAGTATAATAAAATCTAAATAAATAAATAAATATATAAACAAATAAAATCTTTAGGCATGGGAATTTCGACATCCAAAATTTCAATGCGATAAAAGAGATCAACTCGATAACATCAAAGTAATTATTCATCAAATTTTTTTAATTTTCATTTAATTTGTATTTAACACTGTTAACATTTTTTTGCTTTATCACAGAGAAAAACACCAGCCGGACGTAAAAATACTACGCAAAATCCAACTACCGAACCTCCCACCAATCCACACTTGAATGAACTACAATCGCAAGTCAGTACGCTGACAAAACTTCAAAGTAATATGAACAACCATTTGCACGCATTGAGTAAGAATTATCATACTGTGGTGCAAGATCTATTGAATTTCCAAAAGAACATGGTTGCCCAAGATCAATTAATGCAGAATCTCGTTCAATATCTGGTCACCCAAGAAGCAGGTGGGGGTTTAAGTTTATTCAGTAATATATTTTGTGATGAAATAATAATATTTCTCAGTTTTACAAAAAAAATACGATCATTAACTGTCTTTTCTGCTTATTGTTTGACGATGACGATTTCTTATCTTCACTTGCATCTATATTGCATATTTCAAGAAGAAAAGTCTGGTAGCTCTGTGGTGCTGAACAACAACAAATCATACCAAGCAACGACATCATCTGAAAGTTCGGCTCCGTTTATTCCATCTGAACAAGCACAAAAACTTATAAATTCGTACGCAGAAGTTGCACGTGCATCTTTTGATCAAATGAGCGAAATCTCGAGACGGGCGCAACAATCGTTCAATCAACTCGGTGCTGATAATAGTGGCAATGTAAATCAAGTCGGTGGATTTTCTTCCTCAAATTCTCCGATTACTCCTCCACCAGATATCACGGCCTTGGATGCTGTCGGTACACAATCGACTAACAGTAATTCTGAGAGCATTTCTAGTACCTCTGAAATAAATAACATAAATAATTCACAAAATTCGCATCTATCACAAGGGCTGTTATCAGCTACAAGACATCGTCAAAATGGTCATATTTCAATGATAAATCCTCAATCTAATCAACCACAACTCTCATCATCACCATCATCATCATCATCAGCATCATCAATTCAGATGCCGGATAACAACAATGTCTATGCACGGAATTCCACTGATATTGGATTTAGCGGCAATCACACTGATAATGGATTAACGGTGGTCACCGTTGGTCATTTGGCTCCAAGACAACAAACTCAATCTGTATCACTTTCTGATAATCTCGCGACAGCATCCACTAACACTAATATTAACTCGACAACATCACATATGCCACACATCGACAATACATTGGCTCAACGCAATTCAAAAACTTTACGTGTTCGACGTTCTACTTTTGTTCCCGTGTGGTCGGTTCCACCCAAAGTCTTATTAGTGGAAGATGATGCAGTTTATCAACGAATCGGATCGAAGTTTTTGCAAATTTTTGGATGTTCATTCGACATCGCTGCTGATGGAATAACAGCAGTCGATAAAATGAACTTAGAAAAATATGATCTAGTGTTGATGGATATTGTCCTTCCAGATTTGGACGGTAACTAATTTTTTACTCAATTTATTTTATTATTTATGGAATTAATTGTTCATTTATGTTTATAGGAGTGGAAGCAACAAATCAAATACGACGATTTGATACAAATACGCCAATCATTAGCATGACTTCAAATATCAGTGCACAAGATTGTTATAATTATTTTTCACACGGAATGACCGATATTTTGGCGAAACCGTTCACTCAAAATCATCTACTCACAATGTTGGAAAGATATTGCGTACATCTTAAAGCTATGCCTAATTTCCAAGAAATTCCGCGACCATTAAGTCTTTCCGGCAGACTTGTTCAAAATAGTCGAGCAATAACCCCTAATAACCACATTAACAATAACACCAACAACAACCATATTAATGTTAATAACAATCATGTCAAAAGTAATTCTGGTGACATCAATGGAGGTGATTCGTGGGTTCCATCTCAATTCACAGTCGCATCGATGTGCGGTGAGGAATACATGAATGTTATGAATAATATAGTGGAGATTTCTACTCCGGCTCAAGTCGCTGGGTCAGTTCGATTTATAGATGATTTATATGGTGGGATAGAGGATGAGCATGATGGGCGTCAACGAAAACGCGCCAAATTTGAATTGTTGGATGATTGATTGATTCGTTGATTTTATTATATATTAAAAGTATGCGAAATATAATATTGTCATTATGCTTATTATTATTATTATTATTATTGTTGTTGTTGTTGTTGTTGTTGTTGTTATTATTATTATTATTATTATTATTATTATTAGTATCTTTTTTATTATTCTTGTTTATATTTATATTAGAAAAAGCAACTACTATTCTGGCAAACATTGTAAATAATTAATACTAATTCATAAATTATATAGATTAGGATAAACGAAACATTATTTTTCTTTACGTTTTTTTTGTACTAAAACCAGCGAAATGATTGCGATGCATATTCAACATCAAGAACAAACTAAGAAATCTACTTTATTTTATTAATATATCTGTTTAATGACAAACATTAATAAACTCGAAGAGATCTGTTAGCGCATTACGAGATTGTCGAGTTGTAACACTGTTCATCATCTTGAATAATATGCTAAAGCTAATTTCCACTTCCAATTCACCTTTTTCTTTCGCCTCCTTCTATTCTAATTCTACTTTCTCTTCTCTACGAGTTCTTATACAAGGAATAACTTTCGTCACCAAAATCGATTCCGGTTAACAGATCATATTCCATTTCGACAACTCCTGGTATCTTGTTAAATGAAGGGTACTATATAAAGGGGTACTCAAAATGGGATTACTAATGAAACAAAATTATAGTGCGCCAGATTAGTCACATCAAATACTTTGAATTGCAAAGGATTTTTTATCTGAACTTTAAATATAAAAAAATATATATTATTTAATAGTTTTTGATAAATCCTTCTAAATGCATTCTCTTGAAATCATATTAAAGCATACATTTAGAGAGGGTGCATTTATAGAGAGCAAAATACAGACAAATCTTTCTAAATGCACTCTTTATAAGTGTACTTTTTCTAAATGCATAGCATGGTTGGGTTTCAGCTTATAAGAACTTTATATATTTTGTTCTTTATAAATAGATATTCTTTTAAATACATGCTTTATTATGATTCCAAGAGAAATGTATTTAGAAAAATTTGTCTATATATAAAGCTTTTATAAGCTGGAATTCAATTATATTATATATGATATAGGAATTCTTAATTGACAAGATGTTTCAATTTTAAAATGTTACTACTTAACATAGAGGCAAAATTTGATTAGTAACTATGTTCTTTATAATAAGTTTTATAAATTTACCAGTCAGATTTTGAAAATTTTGCCTTTATGTTGAGTAATAGCATTTTAAAATTAATACATATTGTTAATTTAAGATTTTTGTATTATATTTAGAGAATGTATACTTATAGAAAGTGTATTTAGAGAAATTTATTTATATAAGATATAATACTAGAAATTTATAATTATTAATTATATAACAAAAATATTTATAAATGTTAAATATCTAAAACTTTTTATAAAAATATTATATTAAAAATCTGATTAATATCTTTGTAAAAATTATGAATATTTTGTTATGTGATTAATAATTATAAATTTACTGCATTATACAATTTTAATAATATATTTTTTAAAAATTTTAGTATTATTACTATTCTAGGATATCATAGGATTATATGGAGAAAAGTCTATGACATTATAATAGTGCTGCCGTTTCTAGTTCTTACGTATGAGAATATTTAGAAATGGTTAACAGTGACTGTGTTCTCAGCAGATTTTAAATAAGAGAGATGTAAATGATGAATGTGAAGGATTAACAATAATAAACTAACAAGAATACAAGTATAAGATAGATATTTAAGTGTATTAATAAGATAAAAGATAATATAACGACAAATGAAAATAACAAAAGTAAAATAAAGACAAAACAAAAGAAAACAAAAGCAAAACAAAAGAAAAATAAAACACAAACAAACAAAAATAAAGTGAACAAAAGAAATGAACAAGAAAAGTAAAAAAGACAAGACAAAGTTAGAACCAGGATATAATCTTTTTAGTTTATTTCAAGTCAATTCTCATGTTACATATATAGCGAATTTGAGTTATACTAATCTACATGTTATTTACATATATGGATTACAAAGTAAAAATTAATAAAAGTAAAGATTTACAACATGTTGGAACACGATAACTATTGTGTAATATTAGAAAGAGGTTTGTGTAAAATCTATGTGTCGCTAATTAAATTAATGTAACAAGAGATTAAAATAAAGTACCAATGAGATTTAAAATATAAAATGATATGGTAATAGTATGAATTGATTGGTAAATTGAAAAATGATGAAATCTAAACTAAAATGATGTGATAATAATGTAAAATAATTGGATAAAATTATAAATAATTGCTATTGAATAAAAATATAAGAAATATTAGAAAAGTAAAAATAAAAGAAAAGTTTAAATAAATATTACTATGCTAAAAATATAACGTGATATAATTGATGAAAGGTAAAATGATAATAATAGGTTATTTAATCAGAGTAATTATAATAATATATATTAATAGTGATGGATGGAAGAATATAGATAATATAGTCAAATATATAATACTTCAAGCATTATATTATGATTATAATGAGTCTAGAATAATAATAACAATGTATTCATAATGTGGTATACTAAAATAAGACATGGAATTTATATTGAGAGTGTTTATTAAGAAATATTATATAATAAATATATAATTTCATTATAAGATCATAATATAATAATATAATAATAAATATATATAATTTTATTAATGAATGAATTTATTATTTGATTTATAATTTTTTATTATTATTAATTTTTCTTGAAATTCTAAGAACTATAAAATTTATTATTATTTTTTTACTAGCTAAAATACATGTTATATTTATAGATAAATTATAAAAATTAAATATTTAATAAAATTATAGATTAAATTGAATTTTGAATTAAAATTCAAATAGAAATTCAAATAGAAATTCAAATAAAAATTTGAACTGAAATTTAAATTGAAATTCAAATTGAATTTCAAATACTAATTATTAATATAATTGTTCAATAATATATTATTTAATTAAATTTATGATATGAATTAATCAATAAAATAAAAACTAAAGTGGAAATAACATAATTATGTTATTTCCACTTAGTCTAGGTTATTCCCGCTCAGATATGTGTCATGATCCATTTTTTATAACACGGACTAAGGTGTCATGATCCATTTTTTATGACACGAACCAAGGTGTCGTGATCCATTTTTTATAACACACACTAAAGTGTCGTGATCCAATTTTTATGACACATTTTTGACGACAGAAATGCGACACCGTCGTCAGTGTTGTAATATATATTTTATAACACATAAATAGGTATACGGCTTGTATATCCTTTTAGAAAGTCAAATTCGATATTGATAATGGTTTAATCACTTATATAAATTTCCGTGTATCAGCTTAGTGTTTCTAATCGATTTCTGCTGTAAAGAAATCCCCAAATTAGGTTATGACGGCCCAGGTGCGTCCCCTCTGTATTGAGTTCTAATTCCTTTAAAAATCCAAATTCGATAGCAATATTTGTATACTATGTTCTGCGATGGGTTGGTCTTATTGCCAGTGTGACGATTCAATTGCAGTTATGTCATCATTTGTGAAGGCAAGTAATGAGTAAGTACGAAAAATATATAGTACAGGTATGAGTAAGGTTGCTTGCCGAAATCTCTTAGTGACTGTCTAAATTCTGTCAAAATTATAATAAACTATTAGTAAATAACCCGTCAAAATTCTGACGAATTTTGAAACCCGTCGTAACCAAAATTATGTCGAAATTCTAATTAATAATTAGTGTGTAACCTGTCGAAATTATGACGATATTTTTCTGAAAGGATTTAGGTAAGCATCCTTAGGTATAAGGCACTATTTTTGATACATTTGTTAATGTGCTAGGATATGTGACTTTTTTTTATTACCAAATAATTTGTGTATCATATTCATAATTTAGATCGATCAATAATATATCACCATTCTCTTTTCCCATCACCTACTTGTACTTGATTCTGAGTAATACCAATATATGAAAACCTTTTCCCTAGAACAGTATTATTTAATGATTCTTTATTATTAATATCACACCAAGTACAATATGCTTGATATAAACTTGCTGAATTAACTTTATCAATTCTATTTTCAGGCCATAATGAAATATAGTTATGAATTGAATATAATCAGGATAAACTAAAAATAACTGCTGATTTGTATCATCTGGTATATAATCTTCAACATTGTTTGTTATCTCATTAATTTGCACTTTCAATGAATTGATTTCAGATTGCATTTTTTGAATTTGCTCTTTTTAATGCAAGTTCAGTTTGTAAGATAGCAATTTGTTGCCTCAATAAATCAATTTCGGATTGCATGATTAGAAACATTAGGAATACTTATTTTTTTCATGTCTTCAATATTGGAATATATAGTAAAATGTATTAGTATTTTTTGTCACTAAAAATTTTTAGAGACAATACTATTTTTAGAGACAACTTTGGTGACGGGTTTATTATTAAATTTCGGTTTCCAATTCTTTTTTATCTTGTTCTTCTATACTGTCACCGAAGTCACTGAAAATAAAGTAAAATTATAGGAAAAAAATAAAACTTTTTCTTATGGTATACCTTTGATATATACCCGATATATACTATATATATATAATATATCCATATAAAAAAAAAAAAGAAAAAAAGCTGGAGAAATTCGATCTTTTTTAGAGTTTTCAGTGACAGACATCTAAAAAGTTTAAAAATGCGGAATTTGATAGAGATCTTGACTCTGAAAATTTTCTGTCACTAAAAATTTTCGGTGACACTTGGCCATACTAAAATATCGCATGTATACCCACTATATATTTTTTATAACACTATTTTGTGCCGTCTTCTTCAGCTTCTCCCGATGATAGTGGTCCTGAGAACGATACTTACCAGCATGAGTTCTGCATGCTCCATATATCGAAAATGTTAACTTAACACAACCATATTCTTTACATGGTATGCGGATAGGAGAATCCCAGTGAATTGTACATCCCTCGGGTCGATAGCAATCTCGATTACATACTTTTCCACTTCTAAGAATATAAGGACAACGGTAAAATCCCATATCTAAAGTTTTGCTAATATGTTTTTTAAGTAGTATATATTGTCTAACACTAATTACCTAAAATAATTAATTTTTATTTTGAACTTTTCTCTAACCGCTATTATAGTTTCAAATAATAACGTAATATGACTATCCAAAATATTCAAATTTTCCAGGAAACTATCGATCACGTGTTAGCAGAAGTGGGAGTACCACCTCGACCAGATAGCCCAGAAAACTCAAAGAATTTCGAGCCGGAGATAGAGGAAGACTCTTCAAGCCATTGCTCCGCAATAGAAAATAGCGGGACATTGTACTGCC